GCAAAACACGTGGTGTTGCTTGTGAAATCTTCTCTGCCAGTGAGAGCACAGTCCTTACCAACGTCAGAGAGAGTCTCCTTTCTGTCCAGGCCGAAGCCGGTAGGAAGTGACCATGAGACTCAGTCTCCAGTGGTCTTCTGTTCTTCTCCAATCAGTCACTGGAGACTCCCTCTGCTGGCGTGGGCCACCTTCCTACGGGGCCTGCTTCCAGCCTCATTTTCCTGCAGCAAGTCAGTAAGAGCCTTCTCTGAGTCATTAGTGAGGTGCCGATGGAAAGTTCTCATGGAGCATCAACAGCAGTGGGACGACCTGAAAATCATGGCCTTATCCATCGAGACAGCAGTTTGTAACAGCTCACAGGATGGCGAGCCACAGATAGAAGCTGCCAGGAAGCCCCGATTCCTGTCCTCAAGAGGCTCATAATCTGGGGTGAATAGCTGACATTTTAATAAGTACCTGAAGTTCTGGTTTGGAAACCGTGTGACCAGGTCCCCGTGGGCTCCTTAGTCATTTCCAAGGGTGCCATGAAATAGTTAAAAATTCAAAGGACAGGCAGATATTGAACATTTCTACAGACTCAGCAAAAACTACTAGCTCAACATGCTTTGCCGTTTCACCATTAGACCTGCTACCTTCCTTCCAGTGACATCAGACCTTGCTCAGCTGAGATGAATCAAGAACCACCCAGGAAATCAGTGCAGAGCAGAAAATGAGGGTGGCAGTGTCCAACCTGATTCCAAGATTTGAGAAGTCATTCAGTGCCGAGTAAGCACATACCTGCCATTAATCAGTAATTAGATTATTTAAAAGTTGAAAAGTATTAATTTTTCTTTCGATTTGTGTGTGTTATTTTTCACATGGTTACTCTGTTGTCATAGGGCTCAGGTACTTAAGTTACTTAGACCTAGTAACCAAACTGTGAGGCATTTCTTTCGGTCCGGGTGCCATGAAAATAATTATGAGGCACTAGAGCTCCGTGAATTGAGACACTTCTGAACTGCAGCAGAATGAGTGAATATTTCCGTGGAGGGATAGTCATGTCTGTTAGAGTCACAAAGGAGAGAGGGATTGATCTGGCTGGTTAGATGGGTTTGGAGGGCCCCGGGGGAGGCTAAGGAGAGGTGAGACAACTGGACGATCCCGTGAGGGACGTGTGGGGTCTCACCAGGTGGATAAGGAGTGGTAAGAAAAGGTGACTCACTACACTCTGTTGGCAATCATGCCACTTTTGGCCTTTAGTTGGTTTTACCAAAGCATGATTTCTTTGATTCAGTTATTCTCTGAATGTGATGCTTCATTTCCAAGTGTGGCTGGCCCTTTCCAGAGTCATCATCCCCCACTCTCCCCAGATGCCTCCCGGTACCACGCACCAGCACTAAGGTGGGCAAGTGTCTTCATTCCCTTGAAAGGCACCCCCAGCCAAATTATTTTTGAGTCTGTTCACTGGTCCCCACAAACCTTCCGTTGTCTTGGTGGCTTGATCGCAGGTGGGGCTGAGAAGCAGTGTCATGAACCTGATTCACAGCCAAAGAGGAGTTACTTGAAGGTCCTCTTGCCTCCCAGAGCTGTTCAGATTCTAAAACACAGCTGAATTTCTCATCTACGGTATTTCATTCTCTGCGGAGAAAGCCAGGCTGAGAGGAGGGTTCGTTTTTGTCGGAGATTGTTCAGCTTACTCCCACAGAGGGTCACCTCTGCCCTGGACACTGTGTCCTTTGAACCAGCAGAGCTGGGTGAGAGTTACCCTCGCCGCCGTCTTCGGAAGGTATCCTACAGGCAGCCAAGGAGCAAAACGTCTCCAGAGGACTCACAGGGAGCTTGTGGCTTGTGATTCTTTTAACTCTAAAACGTTTCCTCAGTGTGTGATAGCATATTTATCCTGAGTAAGTTTGGTTGTGGAAACCCACGTGCTACATTGTGATTCTCAGGGCCTGTTCCTAACGAGCTCTTCTATTCCGAAGAAGAATAAAGTCGCAGCTGCAGGGATTGAACGGCGGGTTCTAGGATGACACTGGCAAGTGACCAGAGTTCTTGCTTGGCGTTCCCACAGTGCCCTCTCCCTCTTTCCTCTCCACTCCCGAGGACGGTGTGGGGCTGAGCATCGCTCTCGGGATAAATGCAAACACTTGCCCGAGGGCTTGTCGTACACAAATTCATTTCATCCTCGCAGCGATCAGTGAAGTGAATACTATGGTCATCCTCATTTTCCAGACTGGGATACTGAGGCACGAGAAGGTCACACCCCTGGCAGGTCTAACAGAGCTGAAATTCGAACGTGGGCTGTCTGGTCTGAAGCCCACATATGTCGTCACCTTGTCACTCTGCCCCTGCCCCTGCCCAGAACCTGAAAGCTACGCTGTGCTGTATAAGCCACTAGTCGCATGTGGCTGTTTAAATTAAAATTAATTAAAAATAAAATGAAACTTCCTTTTCTCAGGCGTACTAGCCACATTTTAAATGTTTGATACCAGACGTGGCCAGTGGCTAGCATGGTGGGCGATGCGGAAGTAGGGACTGTCCACCGTTGTAGGAGGCTTTATGGGACGTAGTTGCTCCAGAGTCTACAGTCGAGGCCTTCCCATTTAAACTGGCTGTTATTCTGTAATACTCCTTCCAGCACTTACTAAATAATGCATAAGCTAACTGCCAGCTTAAAATAGACCAATGTATTCGTGAAGGGTAATTACCCATTATGTTCCTTCTTCCAGAAAACATACCTGAGTTGTGATGCAAATGTTAATGCCCTCCCTCTAATGTAGCTAATGGAGATTGCCTCCTGCCCTGCTTGTGTACCTGGCCAGGCCTGCAGGTGGACCATGTTGTGGTGGTCTGTTACTGCTCAGGGGGGCAATCCGACATTTCAAGTGATGGCCCGACTAGGTCTCACCTAGACAAAGACACACACCTCATGTCAGTGCTTTTGAATTGAAAAATAAGAGACTCTTTGAAGTGTTATCAATGTTCCAGTTAATAATTTATTGAATAAAACACACTAGCTTCACTTATGGCGTATTTCATTGCAGTTATATTTTTCTATGGTTAATTATTTCAAATTGTATTTTGCATATGTGTCTAGGTTGAAACCAATAGTTCTTATGTGCATTGGTGTGTCTATGTCTAGAACAGCTTAAGTAATAAGTTAGAAGCCTAAAGGAAGACTGAAATCTCTATACAATCTCAAAGTCAGAAAGAAGGGAAAAGAACTGAGGCTTTGGGAGAAATCGTTTCTCAGAGATGCTAACCAAACTTCACACTTACTAATAAATTAATTGTTATTAATAAATAACAATTCCAACTCTCTCTATCACTCTAAAAAAGTCCTTCCCTTGATATCATTATTTTAATATATTATTAGAAGAGATTGTCTAATGCTAATGAAACATCGGTATTTAAGCTTCATTATCAATCCTGATGAAAATTTCTTTTAAGTATTTTCCTAATTTGCTTATTTAATTTCAGCTTTCATAGGAAGTCATGAGACATAACTTATTAAACAAACAAAGCTTTCGGTGTCAGAAAACAATGGTATTCATAGTAAAAATGTAAACTTTTACTAGAATTGGCTGTGGTTTCTTCTGAAATACCAAGCAGTTGTCTTCCCACATATTCTTTTAATACAAAAATCTATTTTGTTCCATTTTATTTATTTTAAACTGGTAATCTGCACATCTTATAATAAGGCTATCTGACCAAGTACAATGATTTATTTCCTTATGGTATTTTAGCAACAAGTGAACAGTAATAATATCAGTGGCCACCTTTTCTGGGCTTCAACATGTGTATACCAAGTGCTTTGTGTACACGATCTCATTTGGTCCTTACAACAAGCCCAGTAGTTAGTTTTTTTTATTTCACTCATTTATTGGAGAAGAATTTTAAGGCAAATGAAGGTAAATAAATAGTTCAAAGTCCCATGACTGGTAAGCAAAGCAACTACAGTTTGACCTTAACCACGACTCCCTCAGGAGCTGCACTCATGAACACCGTTGCGAGACTGTGTGATGTACTGGACGTGCAGGTGTGAACAGAGGTGGTTTTTGTCCTCAGGACGTGTATTGTCTTGTGGACAGCTGATACCCACATCGATACCAGGAGCAGGAGTCCTACGAGTATTAGAAGGGGGGATAACCTGCCTTCTTCTGATGCATCGACCATGGGCTTTATAGCTGAGGAATCAAATACCTTGAATTTTGTTCATGGGCCAGTTTGGCCTCCTTCAAAAGATTTTTTCCATCCTTGTGGGAGTCATGCCATATGACTTTCTTGCCCTTTAATTTTCTTGGCCATAAAGTAGATATTACCCAGAATTATTACTCTGGTGGAAATTATTCCAGCTAGAAAGTGGAATTATCTCATGGTGAATTTGGAAAGAACTACCAGAGCATGTTGAGTCTTTGGCTCTCTGTCTTCCACCAGTGAGCCTCCTTGCAGGGAGCCATCCCGCCAGAGCCAAGGTGGAGTAGAGCAAGGCCAGCCTCAGCTGGCACCGGCAGGACTGGGTGGGGAGTGAGCCTCGTGCTCAGGTGCAGTGGTAGCAGAACCACGGGACGAGCAGACCTTAACTCGTGTCTCCCAAGTAGGTCTCTCTTACTAATGAAAGTGCCTTTTGTTCAGAGGCAGTTGAGGAAGAAGGTTGATGTTCCCCTTTAAATAGTCAAACACTGCTTACTGCCATTTCATGCCCTTATTATTGTTCTCATATTTTAAAATTTTATCCTTATCTTTTTTTTAAGAAAGACATTTTGTTTAAACATCTTTAGGGGACAAGACTCATCTGTTACTTAATTTAGTCTTGTGGTTCTTAGGAGGCTGGCATGTGCATCAAGAAGAAGACTCCCAGGGATGGGACGTGAGGACATTTATTTCCAGCTGAGGGGGAAAAACAAGCTGAAGAGGGGTCTGTATAATTTACCCACAGGCTCTGGAGTTCTGAGTCGAACAAGAGTCTGTGAAATTCATCCGTGTGTTCTGGAGTTTGTATGGCTTACAGTTTGCTGTCATCAAGGAGATTTTGATTTGGGAACTGGCGTTGGGTAGGGGAAAAATGTCCACCACTTTCTGCAACACTTTTTTTCATCATTACATATACCAAGGGTGTCTTCTGTGGTGTCACATCCTCCATCACTGCAAAACCCTCTCAAAAAAAGACATTGTTTCTCCCCTGGAATAAGGCCAGTCCTTGCTGCACAGAAAGAGATTGGAAAACATCATTAATTCACCATCGAATTATTAGTAATGTACATAAAGCAATAAATTTACAGAAGAATGGCTTTGAGATAGAATAAATGAATCACTTATGCAAAAGAAGCGGCTTTTTGGAGGAGAGGTGCTAAGAGTGTGGGATTATGCACATCTTAGGGAGGGCAGGCTGATTTCTAGAAGCTTTTAGAGAGTTGTCCTTATTGGAGGCACTGCCTGTTGAAACGTGTGTGGCGGTCTGTTGTCACCATGACTGGGGAGATGTCCTTGGTATTCGTGGGTAAGGCTCAGAGTTGTTAAATTTCTCACCTGGTGAATTGTCTTGGCCCAAATGCCAGTAACACCTTCACTAAGAAAGACTTTCAAAGGAAGCATCCATCCTTCTGTCCCCTGATCTCTGTTTCTAGGGGTTTGACTGTTTCAGGTATCTCAAGTAAGTGGAGTCACGCAGCCTTTACCTTCTTTGACTGGCTTGTTTCACTTAACATCACGTCCTCCAGACTCGTCCTCCAGGTTAGCACTGAAGCAGTTTGTTGTGCACACTGTCTACCTGTCCCACATCTGTCATTGTGGACCCTGGTGCTTTCTGCCTGTGAATTATGCATCCTTCCAACGTTCGGCGATACCCTTTCCTCACCACCTTTGCCGGCTCTGTCTCGCACTTTGGTATCCTGCTTTAATGGAGTGTGAGCCATGGTGCCTAGAGTAGGAACTCCCTTTGGGACGCTAATGCAGAGGATGGCAGAGACTTGGGACAGGACACATTTTCAAGTCCAAGCATGATTATGACTTAGTTCACATAGAGCCAGAGCCGACTTAGCTATGACCTTTGGATCTCAGAAATGACCAGATTGAAAAGTTAGGCACTTTGACTTCCTCGTTTCTCGTGATCGTTATTTCTGCCCTCCATCTGTTTCCACACAGTTGCTGGTGGTTTCTCGGGCTTAATTCCATGCATTTACCTCAAAAGATGATTATTTCCAGATTAGAAAAGAAAGAAGCTACTCTAAACTTGAAACTCCTTCTCTGGTGGAACCAGGGAGAGAGACTCTGAAAGAAAAATAGTAGAAGTAGTGAAACAAAGGGAAAGACCTGTCAGGCTCGTAGGCTGCCTAGAACCTACAGAGAATCCTGCTTTCAGCACAAACCGGACCCCACTGGGTGCTCAGGGTCCTAGTCGTTACCGCTTCCCACTGTACAGTCTGCTAGCCATGCCCCCTGCAGACTTGGCATTGGTGCCAAACAACCTTTACTTTGGCATAATTCCCTGAAATGCATGGCACATTTTCTCGTATAAACTAGTGCTCTCACATGGTAGCCTTCTTGCAGTTCCTTCAACACACTGGTTTCTTTTGAATCAGGAACATTGCCTTGGCTGCTTCCTTTGCCAGGAGTGTTGAGGGCTGCTTGCAAGGGACTCACTGAGTAACACTTAGCTTTCAGTTTTTGGCTCAGAAGGCGTACTCAGAAGGAACTCTTCTCTGATGTTGCAAACTGACAATGACCACATGCTTTGGACACTCATAATAATCTGTTCCTTTTCACTGTACTCATTAAAATTCATAATTATATAATGATTTGTAGTCATTTGACTAACGTCTGTCTTCGACACTGTGGGAAGACCCTCCTTCTTTTGTTTCCCGTTATATCTTGGGCATCTCATGCAGTCCATGTAAAGTAGGAAGTACTCAGTAAGCATTTGTCACCGTTGAACGCAGTGAAGTATCCATTGACCCCACACACATTTTCTATCTCTCATTCCTTCTAAACTTTCCTGGCTTCAGCCTGTTTTTGACTATCTGGCCCCCACGCTTGGATGTGCCATTGCATTCGTGGGAGTCCAGTCTTGTCGTTCCCATGTTAACGTCTCTTACTCTTCAGCCTAGGTCTCCGGGACTCCTGTTTTCCCATCAGTTGTTTCTGGCCTTCGCTCTGAGACAACTTTTCTTCCCAAATTGTTTCCAACCCTAAGACCAAACCGCGGCTCTGTCACTTCCCCCACCATAATGCTGGGTTTCAGCTAGGTCCTTACTTCCAGGAGAACAGTCCCCCCTTAGCCTTGAACAAAAACAAAACAAAACAAAACAAAACAAAACAAAACAAAACAAAACAGGCCCGTAACCTGGGGTATGACTTCCTGTGGAGATAGTCATTTATGTTGAGTTGAATTTAGCGTAGGTGTTGGAGGGCAAGCATTAGCAAAAAGAAAAATTCACTCATCAACTGTGCAGACATAGTTATCTTGAGGCAAGTGCTGTCAGCTGTCTGAGAATTCATGGCAATTACCAGATTTTAAGGAACACAGATCAGAGAAATTTAAAGGCTAGCATCAGTAGTAATGCCAGAATATGAGGCTGATTTGACATGCCTACCAGAAACACTGAGGAAGGACAGTGCAGAGGTAAGTGAATTAACATGTTTCGAGGACAATGTAACTTCCCAAAGAAGAAACGTAAAAAATCTCCTAGGGATCCTCAATATCATATTAGGATATTTTGAGGTATAAAGCCTGACAGAAATCAGGGTTACCATTCTATGGGCACACTCACACCTGTAGATCAGTGGAGATAACACTGACCCAGATTCAAAATACTTGGTCTACCTACAGTGTCGGCACCACCTGTGTGACCCTAGGGAAGTCATATTCTTTCTGTGGACATGGATTCTCTTATCTGTAAAAAAATCAAAGAATTAACCTTTAAGTTGCCTTCTAATTTTTAGTCACTAAAATCATGTAATTTTACATTAGCTGTCACTGCAATTGTGTCCCCCCAGGGCTGTGTCTTCTTCGATAGAACTGACAGCCAAATGAGAATTACATGAAGTCCTTCAAGAGGAGCAACTACAAGTCAGGCAGATCCCAAGGTATCCATAGATTAGACAAAGATCAAGCAAGTGAGTGTGTTGGATTGTATTTGAAAGAACCTTATAGGTGAATCAAAGCAGAGAGTTACTCAGACTTAATCTATGTTCAATGAGCACATTATGCCTTCCCCAAATTTCCTGCTGCCCACTGGTTTTTAATAACTTGATACAATCGTTTTTTTTGAGCTCCATTTTATGAGCCTAACTTCTATCCTTCACTAATATTTAGCACCAAATGACTCTACATTGCTTCCTTCCGCTAACCAGGTCTGCCACAGTAGCGGCTGTTCTCGCTCTCCTTTTCGGAGACTGGGGTGCTCGTGGAAGCTACTTGCCTCATACGCTGCACTGTAAGTCACGTGTCAGAGCTTCTCCACTTCCACCTCTACCTGAGCTCCTTTTTCTAATCATGGAGCTCTTGGATCTCATTTTCCGTTGATGAAAATCCTTGTCCTGCTTCACAGTTTTGGCCTCATCAGTTCTGAGAGTGATGGTCATGTTGGATTTCTGTGTCCCTAAGGGTGTGCACTAGACCCTGAGTTAAGGTGGCCACAGTGTAATTGAGCATCCCAGGAGGTCTCCTGAGAAGCCTGTCTCTACAGTCGTTCATCATCTTACCTTCTGGGATTATAATGAAAGAGAGGAGGAGAACAGAAAGGAGTGAGCGGAGTCTCATGGTTGAACGCCCAGTACAGAAGTGCGTGATGAGAAGCAGCGGGACACAGGGCCTTTTATTTACTTCTAGGGACTGAGGTTCCTTGTGATCAGTGAAGCTTAACGAGGAAGAAAATAAAACAGCTTCTGCTGGAATATGTCCAAAGCCTAGAGTCTTTAAATTTGATGACAAATTAACCTAGTCATTGGAAACCAAATGGATAATCCTTTACTTTTTCTATGGGCTCTCAGAATTCCCAGAGGTCAGTATCTTTGGCCAATCTTTTGAAGGAGCCAAGAAGTGAGGTCACTGAGGGCAAAGTTCTACTTACCCAAGTCCTCTGGATTACAAGGGAACTCGTCCACACGAGGGGTAACATAACTGCCCAAGGACCATTTCTAAAAGAAAAACAAGATGTTATGTTTTAAGCTACTCCTTAAAAAGAGAGGCTAGCATCACATATGGACTATGTTCTTAATAGCCTCTGTAAGGTTAAATACACTTGGTTCACTGAAATACACTGAAAACTAAAAGTTCCTCATCTGTTCTCAGTCCTTTGTACAACTGTCCCATATGACCAGGTTGGTGAGATCAGAAGAGTTAAATAAAGAGCACACTGTTTCCCGAATAGCCGTCCACTGTCAAAAGGCTATGTATGTCTACAGCTTAGAGAGACCCCTCGCCTTTCCCCTACCCTCCTGTATAGAAGCAAAGCTCTGAACGCCTAAGAATATGCCATTGGCCAAGAATCAATTGACCCGAACCAATTTATCTAAAACTAATTCAGCTACTGATCAATGGCTTAATGACACATTTATCTAAATTCGTTTGTCTTTTTCATTTATAAACGTTCATCTACGTGATATCAGCTTTTGGGGGGAAACGCTTTAGATACTTTTGTGTTTTCTATGGTGATGACTTTTGATCATTTACATGTTTATTATCTGATGTGTTTGTTTATTTTATCTATTTTATAGAATTGAGATACAGTTGACAAATAACACTGTGTAACTGTAAGGTGCACAACGTGTTGATTTGGTACATTTGTGTATTGCAATACGATTGCCACCGCAGGGTTAGCTAACACTTCTGTTAGGTCACATGATTTAATTTCTTTCTAATGGTGGGAGCAATTAAGATCTAATTTCTTAGGACTTTAACATTTGTAATACAGTGTTGTTGACTATAATTGCTGCTGTGCGTTAGATCTCCAGAACTTACTTAGCTACTAGCTGTGGTTTGTACTCTTAAGAACATCTCTTCAGTTGATTACCCCAGCCTGTGGTAATCACCATTCTACTCTGTATTCTTATGAGTTTGGCTTTTTTACATTCCACATAAAAGTGATACACAATATTTGTCTTTCTCTGTCTGACTTACCTCATTTGGCATAATGCCCCCAAGGTATATCCATGTTGTTGCAAATGGCAGGATTTCGGTTTTTTCGTGGCTGAGTAATAGTTCATTATATGTGTATATTATATGTGTGTTTATTTATATGCCGTATCTTCTTTATCCATTACTCCATTGATTGTGGACACTTGGGTTGTTGTGTCTTGACTATTGTGAATAATGCTGGAGTGGACATGGAGATTTGCCTTTGTGATTCCGATTTCATTTCCTTTGTATATATACCCAGAAGTGAGATTGCTGGATCATATAGTAGTTCTATTTTTCCTTTTTTGAGGAACCTCCACACTGTTTTCTGTAATGGCTGAACCATTTTACATTCTACCAGCAGTACACAAAGGTTCCTTTTTCTCCACATCCTTGTCAACATTTGTTATCTCTTGTCTTCTTTTTAAAAAAAAATTTTTTTAATTGAAGTATTGTCAGTTTACAGTGTGTCAATGTCTGGTGTACAGAATAATGGTTCAGTCATACATATACATACGTTCTTCTTCATTGTAGGTTACTTCAAAGTATTGAATATAGTTCCCTGTGCTGTACAGAACTTGTTGTGTATGCATTTTATACATAGTAGTTAGTACCTATAAATCTCAAACTCCCAATTTATCCCTTTCCACCCCCTTTCCTCCCTGGTAACCGTAAGTTTGTTTTCTATGTCTCTGAGTCTGTTTCTGTTTTATAAATAAATTCATTTGTGTCTTTTTTTTTAGCTTCCACATATGAATGATATCATATGGTATTTTTCTTTCTCTTTCTGGCTGATTTCACTTAGAATGACGATCTCCAGATCCACCCATGTTGCTGCAAATGGCATTATTTTGTTCTTTTTATGGCTGAGTAGTATTCCATTGTATAAATATATCACATCTTCTTTATCCAGTCATCTGATGATGGACATTTAGGTTGTTTCCATGTCTTGGCTATTTTAAATAATGCTGCTATGAACACTGGGATGCATGTATCTTTTCAAATTAGAGCTCCCTCCTGGTATATGTATGCCCAGCAGTGGGATTGCTGGATCATATGGAAAGTCTATTTTTAGTGTTTTGAGGACTCTAGCATACTGTTTTCTGTAATGGCTGCACCAAACTGCATTCCCACCAACAGTGTAAGAGGTTCCCTTTCCCCCACAGCCTTTCCAGCATTAATCGTTTGTGGGCTTTTTAAGGATAGCCATTCTGAAAATAAACTCAAAATGGCTTAAAGACTTCAACGTAAGATGAGATGCTATAAACCTCCTAGAAGAAATCAGAGACAAAACATTCTCTGACATAAATCTTAGCAATGTTCTCTAGGGCAGTCTACCCAGGCAATAGAAGTAAAAGCAAAAATAAACAAATGGGACCTAATTAAACTTATAAGCTTTTGCACAGCAAAGGAAACCATAAGCAAAACAGAAAAAACAACCCCTGGAGAACCGTATGTCCATGGGGCTCTCTTGGTCTGGAGCTGAGCTGGCGTGGGGCGATAAGGTCAAAGTGTAACAATTCCTTTGCCCGTCTAATGCCATCCTTCTCAGTGTTTGCAGTCCAGAGAATTTCTTCAGACTCAACCCCTGTTCTAGGATTTTTCACAATGGTTTCTTATCTATAGATAGTTGCTAGTTTGTTTCCTTGTGAGGAAGACTGAAGTCAGGAACAACTGATGTCACCATCTTGATGACCAAAAATAGGATATTGAAGTCAGCCCTCCAAAGAGAAGGCAGGACTAATTGTCCAGTGGAAAAATGGCTCCTGAAGGCATTTCAGAAACCGTAGGCCATCCCTCCAATCACTTTGCATCCCAGAGTGCAGAGGCCTGGGGGCAGGATGATTTCAAGAGAAAGGCTGCCTGCTGCCTGGTTCCAGCTCAGATTACGGGCTGTCTCCCCGCACACGTGCTCCTCAGCAGCAGCAGATGCCGCTCCAGCAGGCCTTGCTGTGGTGAAAGCTGTGCCCAGCAGCGTGGTGGGCGCATGGCTGTCTCCACCTAGACCTCGTGCATGCCCTGCAGAGCCACGGACCTGGGCAGAGAACTACTGCTGTCACCACCGACAGCTCCCCTAGGGCAGTGCCTAGTGGAGGTGGGGGAGCAGGGTGCCCTCAGACTCCAGGCCAGGGGAGCCCCTGGCGTGGAATTATTGGTCAAGAGAACCGCAGCTGTGCCACCACAATCCACAGGAACCTGGCCTGGGCTACACCCAGGAAATTGGGGGGTGGGCGGTGCCAAGGCTGCTTGGAGCCTTGAGGGCACCATCCCTGCCCAGAGTGTGTCTGGAATGTAACACTGGCGCCCCAGCCTCTGGACCGGACTCCAGACTTTCATAAAGGTCTCTTCATCCGTGGGTGGTTGTTAAATCAGCCTTTGTGTGAGAAGAGGAGGTCTGGGACCTTCTGTTGTGCAGTTTCACTTCCAGGAATATTCATAATGGTTCCCTCTATTCAGATACTCCTATTCTGGCATTTAAAGTCTGAAGAAAAGAATTGGACGCATGAAACACACACAGATACACAGTCTCTCCCATGGACGTTATTTCTGTACGTGATGAGCTAAAAGATAGTTGTAGGGAGACAGACAGAAGTAAGGGGATCATCTTACAGCGGGAAAGAGAAAAACGAGAAAAACTGTGAAGAATACAGCAGTGTTCCCAGAGGCTTTTGGAACACACCACGAGGTTACTTCTAGGCACTGCGGGGTCTGCTCCTCTGGTTTGGATGTCACTTTGTGATGTGGCCAAAGCCTGTTGTTCTTTCAGGCTTTTACGATCTTTCCTATGTATGTGCAAGGGTTTTGCCTTTCTCTTACAGTCCTCCCCCACCCCAGAACTATGATTTCCATCTCATTAGGGTAACAGTCAGAGTTCTTTCCTTAGTTATTTAAGACATCGTGGTTCCAGGATAAATCAGGAAAACAGGTAGAACCGCCGGCTAATTCCAAATTGCAGAGAACAGGTACAGTGCTGTCTTAACTGAATTAAGACAGGCTGAGGGCCTCTTCTGAACTGTTAGGCTGAGGAGCAGTCACAGGGAGTCAGCTTAAGCCAAGGTGCAAGTGTTGTGCATGCAAGTTTTGCAGAATCCAGGTGTAGATCAGCAGTATAGGGCTAGATTAACTTAGTAGAAAGTCTCAGTTCATCACCTGTGTCTAAAAAGGACATGATCTTTGTAAACTAAATGACACCCAGGAGTGGCACTCACCCACATTCTCCCCAGAACGTGAAGAGGGAGTAGGGAAAGAGAAATTAAGGCAAGCCCCCAGTCTCCCTCATCATCCCCACACTTCGCTCTGGCCTACGGTCACCTCCACTGTTTTAAGGTCACTTTTGCTCCGAATCTAGTAAAGACTGTGCCATTTATTGTGGAAAATCTTCATACTCTGAGAATTAAACAAATAAAAGTCTTCATACACATTGCATCATAGGAAGAAAGGAGTCTTAACTAGCAAACCACAGTTCCTTAATCGTCAAAGTTTTGTACGTGACTGAAAACTAAAAGCCCTTCTAAGAACTCCCTGGAGGTGTGCAGTTGAGCTCAAGCCCTTGTGGCCTTCAGGAAAGGGCAGTGAGGCGCTACAGCCCTGGGAAGGAGGGTGCATTGCAGTCAGAAGTCACAGAGCATCAAAAACCTACCTGA